CCCCCTATACCCCCTTCCATTTGCTCTAAAAATCAATGGAAAAAATATCCTCGGTGAGGATTAACAAAAACAAACAAACACAAAACAACAATCAAAACAGTTCTCTTAATCTTAAGGATAATAAATGGGAAAAAAACCCTTTACTTTTCAAGGAAACTAAAAATGCATTCTTACTTTTTTCTTATTCTCTTTGTGTGAACTATAGAGCTGCACATCTAGACGTAATTTGTAGAACAAGTAACATCCAATGTCACTGGATGGAAATTAACATGACCGGAAAAAATCATCCATTTTCCCCTTAAGCTTTGGGGGAAAAAATCCCATTTAATTTTGTTCTAAACAATTAGAAATTTAAATTAAGGAAATGTTACTTTAAAGGGCTACATTTCAACTCTAATGAAGCAAGTTATGAAATATGGATCATTTGGTTCAGTAGCTGGGATGTGAGGTTAAAACGAAGGTACTAGGGTGCTAAGTTATCCGCCCTCCTTTTAACTACAACTCTTCTGATAATGAAGAAAAGCTATGATGTCAGCAAGAGAATGTATTAATAATACACCACATGACCAGGAAGCTTCTTTTAATGACAAAAGGGAGCTCTTTCTGCCCTAATGTTCAGTCTTTTGTGACAACATTTGTCCATCAGCAAATGACAGCTTATACTTCTTAAGGGACTAAAATCACTACTAAAAAATCACCACTTCTACCACAGAACCCCCAGCCTCCCCTGCTTCTAAATTCTGGTATTTTATAGTCTGCAAGTTTTTCCACGATATAGCCATGTCTTTTAAAAATAACTGAATTAAGGCAGGTAATTAAGGGAGGGTTTAATGTACAGCAGGTCCTCAAATAATGTCATTTTCTTATAATGTTGATGAGAAAGAAATCGATTCCCAGCCAAGGCAACTATCAGTGTGGAGTTGGAATGCTCTCCCACATCTGCATGGGTTTCTCCAGGGACTCCAGTTTCCTCCCACATCCTAAAGATATGCACCTGAAGTTCACTGGCATGTCTATGTTGTCCCAGTGTGAGTGAGTATGGGGTGAGTGGCCCTGGGATGGAAGGGCAACCTGTCCAGGCTGGGTCCCTAGGGACCTTGTGCCCTGGGCTGCTAGGAGAAGCTCTGGCTACCTGTGACCCTAAACTGCAATCAGCAGGTTGGCAAAGAATCCTCTTACTTGTTTTTATTCATCTTTCTTAAATGTATGGATAGCTCAGATTTACTTCAATGTGCAATATTACAAGTATTTTGGGTCTTTATTTACAAGTTTGGTGATGCTTTTGTGACCAGAAATAGGCCATAGGAACTTAACTTTTGTTTAAATCAGTCTATGGTAAAACTGATTTCGTTATTTCACTTAAAAGTCACAGTTTCCAAGAACCTACTGACAGTGTTAAGTAAGAACTTACTGTTTTGAGCTCAAAAAACATAGTGAACATTTAGGAATAAAACAACATTTGGACAGCCCCCCCATAAGAGCATTCTGAATGTCTGATAACAGTCATACCGTTGGAGCTCCTAGTAGTGTGGGGTTGACTCTGGAAGGTTCTAGAGCGGGGGCCAGACTGCCCTGAGAACTGCCCGCTCTGGGCTGGGAACTCGTTCCACGCACCCCGAGAAGGGTGGAGGCTCTGCGGGGCCTCAGCAGAGGAGTTCAAACGCTGAGGCCAGATGGAGTCCAAATCCTGGGGTTCTTCTTTTAGCTTTTCTCCTTCCTTGCCAACACGCTGATAGATCCTCCCGGTGCTATCATTCAGTAATCTTCTCATTCCTGTAATTTGTTTTTTAATTTCCATGCTTTCACCTCCTAATGGGAACAGGGCCAAAGAGAGCACTGTAAATCAGCACAAGAAAAAACAGTCCTCTACCAAAAATGCCACCACTCCTTCTCTGGAAATGGCAACGATTACCGTTCCCTGATGCAAGCTTCTAGATACTAAGTAATCCATAAAAATTAAAGGCAAGGAAACGGGCTATGGTCTGAAGAAACTGATTATATTCCTGGTGCATCTCAGTTTAATCTCTTTCTGGCCAAATTCTCTTATGATAAAAGAGATTTCCTGAGTATATTTCATCTGGGGCACACTTAAAATTCCCTCCTTGGGAGTGTTTTCTGGGTGAGGATGTCATAAGAAAATAGCTGAGGCAGAAGACGGAGGGTGGGACTACAAGACTGAAATCCCCGGCGTGAAAGCGCTATAGCCACTCACTTGTAATGGCAAAACCTGCAGCGCAGCTCGCCCCCCTGCCGGCAGGCGGTTACAGACCTCAGGAAGAATGTGTGGCACTGGCTGGGATGCAGAGCTTTTTGAGGCTCTTGGCACAGCAGCAGCGCTATTGACCGACACAGTGGGGGGAGACATCACCCTCAGAGGTGACAGAGTAGGAGCAGAGGGACATCGAGGCAAGGGAGGAAGGCTCTGTCTTTCTCAGCCCAACTCACAGCGGACGTGCCCCTAGAACTGTGACTCAGCCTAGTGATGTCCAGGGTCCCTGACTGCGCAGCACCAGAGGGGAAGTGCAGGCCCCCCCGCCCCCCACCCTGGACCTACCTGGACCAAATCCACTGCCACCTCCGCTTGGTAACTATAAACAGAACAGGTTGTTTCAAAGCCCAGCTCACCTATGCATTGACTTTTAAAAAAATTAGTGGTAAAACTCACATAACATAAAATTTACCATCTCAACCATTTTTAAGTACATAGGTAAGTATAGTCACATTGTTTTGCAACAGATCTCCAGAAGTTTCACACTGAGGTTTTTTTAAGATTCTTTTTCCCTCAGGGATTTTTTTTTTTTTTTTAATCCTCAACGGAGGACATTTTTTCCATTGCTTTTCAGAGAGAGTGGAAGTGGGCGGGGGGAGGAAAGAAACAGCAATATGAGAAAGACACATTGATTGGTTGCTTCCTGCACTTCCCCCAACAGGGGCTGAGCCTGAAACCGAGGTACATGCCCTTGGCCCAAATCAAACCCAGGACCCTTCAGTCCACGGGCCAACGCTCTAACCACTGAGCAACCCGGCTAGGCGGGGATTTTTTTTCTGTTTGAACTAAAGTATCTCTATACTGCACTGGGGGTACTTCGTAAATATTACTTAAAGATGACTGTCAAATTATACAGATATAAAATATTTTCTATAAATAAGAACAGAAGATGCCAGTATCTATTAGGAACTATTTCAAATATACTAACTTCTTAAACTATGCATCAGCCAGGATTTTCTCTAAGGTTAAAAAAAGTAGATCCCCCCCCTCCCCCAATCTGGGTATTAAAATAAAAGTCTTGTCCCAGGGTATGTATACACACTCATGCAGTCACTCTATTAAATGCTTGAAATTTAAACTATGAGAAATAAAGCCCACAGAAAGTACCTATTAGGAAAAACATCCCCTGCAAATAAATCCAGCATGTTTAATATAATGACGTTTTAATGCACTTAGTATCTTGTAAGCCAGATTTCTCTGTAGAACTGGTAACTGCAAACTCTAGGTATTTTGTGTTGTCTAGTTAGATACTTAGTTAATATATAAATACATTACTGACTAAAAGGAAACTTTTATACGCTGTTTTGAAATAAGTATCTTCCTTTTTTAAAATGGCAATAAGAATGTTAATTATGCCTTTAATATCTAATGTGGTTGAACACAGACGTGATACAGATTTCCAAATTATGGTATTATGTGCTGCTATATGCTTGAGAGGAGAAACACTTTAATTTGTAATAAAACCATTTTTACAGCAAACACCTGTGAAGATTACAATATAGAAACAATAAATCATATTCTAGATTTTATGAGAATGACCAAGCAAGATTTAAATGACGCAGCCAGCAGAATTTACGGCTTCAAGATGTCTAGAACAGGGTGTGTCTGGAGGAGCTCCCGGAGGAATTCTGTAAAATGCATCTGTGGGCGCATGTGGTATTTGTTTCGGTACCCAAACACATACTATCCTGGCTAGTTAACAGCATGTTTTGGGCAAGAAGGAGCTTCTTTCCTGCGGGGATCTTGTCCTCAATCTTCTAGATCAGGGACGCTGTGTACCCACCAAAGGCTGCAGCACACTGATCTTCACTGGCATTGGCTGGTGGCTGCCAGTCCTTTCCCTCCTGACTCCCTGGCAAGAGCTGCACGGTGATGCCATACTCTGCCTGGTTGAGTCAGTGCCAGCTTGCTTCTACACATCCCAGCAAAAGGCATCCTCTTTTCAAAGGTTCCACCTCTGCCCTGGAGATCAGATGCTATGAAAAATCACTGGTTTTAGGCGGGGGTCTGAGGATTCTGGAACTTTCTAAGAGCAAATCTGCTTTGTCAGGATCTTAGTCTCCTAGTTGCTGAAGTCATACCTCTGAAAATCACAAGAACTGAAAATTCAATGTGAGTTTTCCATACTCTGTACTTTCACGTGGAAGACCAGAATCCTGAGCTGCAGGTTGAATAGAGGAAAGAAGGGAAAAGTGGAAAGGGAGATTCTGGTTGTTGGCTGCCCCTGCAAAGTTTAAAAACATTTCTTCCAAAGTCAATACAAAAACCAAACAAATTGGGACCTGGGGGACCATGGAGAAAGAAAGAAAACAGCAGAGGCCAAGGCACCCTTGACACTTCACTCTGCAGAGAGCCCACAGTCTATCTGACTGCGGGGAGTTTTAAAGGGCAGAAAATAAAAAACTGCAGAAGCCAATGAGAGGAAAGTGAAGAGACTGGGGAAGGTGGAAGAAGGGCTGACTGGGGGATAGCTTCTTAGAGGAGACAGGCTGGGCATCCCTACAGGACAACTGGAAGTGTACGAATGGTCTCTGGTGTAATTGTCCTACCTTTAGCCAAAGAAGCAGGGAGCAGACCTGAAAATGCCACCTGTGGGGACAGGTCCTGGAGCCCAATTACACATGCAGGTGACCATGGGCTCTGGCAGAGCGAGGCAAGTGTTTCCTTGCACATTTGGGAGAAAGAGCAGAAGGTCAGAAAGGAGACCTGAAGACTATAAGCAGGGATGACCAAAAAAGCTGAGTCAACGCACATAAATGGGAGGGAGTGGGTGCTGACCGCAGGTGATTAGGTGAGCTCGCAGAAGTTCAGCCCCCAGATACTGGGGTGGGGCATGGACAGGCCTGGTGGGTATTCCTGACACCTGGACTTGCTTCGTAAATGTGCTACCTTGTTATCTGATATGAGACAAGTCACCTGCTCTTCTCAGACTTCAGCTTCCCGAGTCATAAAATGAAGGTCCTGATGCCTCTGAAAGTCGTGTGTGTCCTTCTCAGAAAAAGTGGGCTGATTCCATTCTCACCATGGAGCCCAAGTTGTGTGTTTTTTAATTGAAGGAGCCCAAGTTCTCTGCTTTTAAAAAAATGATACAAAGTACGTAATAGATTGAGATTTGAAGCAACAATTCCCCTCTATTGTCTTTCAGGTTTGAATTGTCTTGTCCACAGACAAGGAAACTCTTAGGGGCAATGGGCTTTCTAAAGCAGCAGGATTCCATATGGAAATCTGTGCCCTTTCTTTATTTCTTTCCAAACCTATGTCTTTGCCTAACCCCAACTCCAAGAGGCGGAATGTTTCTAGACGAAACAAAAAAGAAATCTTACTAAAATAAATCTATGCTATGTGGCTCCCTTATGGATAAAACAACCATAACTGAAATCCTTTTTTTTTTTTTCTTTAATTATGTCTTTATTGATTTTAGAGAGAGGAAGGGAAAGAGAGAGAGAGAAACATCAATGATGAGAATCACTGATTGGCTGCCTCCTGCATGTCCCCCCCCAGCTGGGGACTGAGCCCCCCACCCGGGCATGTGCTCTGACAGGGAACTGAACCAAGATCTGGATCACACGTCGATGCTTAATGCTGCGCCACGCCGGCCGGGCTGAAATCTTTTTGAGAGTTCAGTAACTATGCTCCTTGGACAAGATCCAACAAGATTGCAGGCTGAATTCTACCCTTCGCTAAATTTCAAGACTCTACCAGAATACTTTCCTTCACACAAAGAATTTATATAACACATAGAGTCTTGCGAGAAACGAGATGGCGGCCTACGGAACAGCGGTACCCGCCGCCTCCCGCAACCACATCAAAATTACAACTAAAATACAGAACCACCATCACTCAGAGCCTCCTGACACCTGGCTGAGCAGAAGCCCTACAAGGAGGGAACTGAAGAAGCATTGAGAGCAGTAGGAGGGGTGGAGATGTGGGCAGATTGGGGCTGAACTGTGGAGACGCGGCCGCGGGCCCACACCCGGTGCCACGGTTTAAACCCGGGAGGGGTNGTGGAGATGTGGGCAGATTGGGGCTGAACTGTGGAGACGCGGCCGCGGGCCCACACCCGGTGCCGCGGTTAAACCCGGGAGGGGTATCTCGGTGGTGGGGGTTTCCCAGAGGAGTGAGGGGTCCCAGCCCCACATCAGGCCCCAAAGCCCAGGGTCCCAGGGCTGAGAAGAGAAATCCCCACAACTTCGGGCTGTGAAACCAGCGGGGACTGTCTNGAGGGGTCCCAGCCCCACATCAGGCCCCAAAGCCCAGGGTCCCAGGGCTGGGAAGAGAAATCCCCACAACTTCGGGCTGTGAAACCAGCGGGGACTGTCTCTGAGGGTCGCAGAGGCCGCGGGAGCCCCAGCAGCTCCTCGTAAAGGGCCCGGCATGGACTCACTAGGACGCTCCCTCTGAGCCCAGCGCTGGGCAGCAGCCTGAAAGGACCTGGGACACTTGGGGAGGAACTAACCTG